GACCAAAAAGTCATATGATTATATGACCAAAGTCATATCGAAAAAATGTTATGACCTATGTCATCGGCCAACACTGTGCTGCATAGTGCCCATCTCAATCCCGGACAAAGTATTGAGAATCGTTTAGTTTTCGGCTTTTCACCGTCCGATACCGGTCTTCACGAAGACTGATTATAGATAGGGTGAAACTATAATATATTCTACGTCGGAATAATTTCACCAAAGATTTTTCAAAATTGATTAAATTTCAACTGTTGGAATTAATTTATATACAAAAATTAAATCGACAGTTAAAATTGATAAGCATTACTATGCATTTATTATATTATTTATTGATAGGCATTACTAGTCAAAATTTTTATTCGGTAAGTTACTTGGCAAGTTTTGTCATAGGGCGTAGTAATTAACTGCGTTTGTAATCATCATCACGATCTAACTGCGCCTTGTATCACCATCACAAATCTATTGCATGATTTAAAGAAATCAAAAATCTTGATTTTCCCCTATGCGGCTTATTCATAAGTCAATACCTCTTGTGATCTATCGCCAATTCTCTACTACACAAACTGCAAATATGAAATCCTATATACAATTAATTGGTAGTGGAACATTTGATGTACCACCTTCAATAATGGTTCATTTTGATAGTCAACAAAATAGTCAAAGATATTTATTTAATTGTGGTGAAGGAACTCAAAGGTTTTGTTTACAAAATAAATTAAAAGTTTCCAAATTAAAAAATGTCTTTTTGACTAGAGCTAACTGGAATTGTTTCGGCGGACTTCCAGGTATTTAAATAAAATAATTTAAGGTAGATGGGTATTTTGACGAAATAATCAATATAAAAATTTTTTATTTGTTTCGATATAAAAAAATTTCTGTCATAAATTTAATACACAATTTAGAATAAATTTGACTATGAAATTGTGATATAACAAACGTTTTTAGGGTGTAAATGAACAAGGTTATGCATTTACAAGAAATTCGAATTATTATGAGATATTTTGACAATAGAGATTATCTCGGGATTTAGCAATCAGATTTATGTGATTTTTGCATCATTCGATTCCTTACACTAAAAAGGAATCTAACGGTAAAAATTACTAAATCAGATCATTGGATTCCAAGAAATCTTTATCGGAATAGCACAATATGACAAAAAATGGTTTTGTGATGAATTGAATAAAATTGAGATTCAACGATTAGATTCGAATAAATTCACTGAGAAAATCACATTGCTCAATTCTGATTACTGGATCGCAATATCAATTCTCTCTTCACCAAAATATCTCTGTCTACCTTATATATATATTTTTAACAAGTAGATTTGTTGTATGGGTAAATGAAATGTCTGACTATATATTTATTTGATTTCTTTGTTAGGTATGCTACTTACAATGGCTGATGCAGGTTCCAAAGAAATTAAATTATATGGTGGCCCAAATTTGACACATGCGATAACTGCGACTAGAGGTTTTATTTTAAGGTAAATGGTTAAAAATAATATGTTACTATTTTAACGATAGTTATCTTCGTGTAATTTCATTAATATATTGTTTAATAAATAGATCAACTATGTCAGTGGAGACACATGAATTTCAAGAAGACGGGATGATATTCAAGGATAATAATATGACTATATACCCAATATTTATTAATCCGGAAGAATCCAATAATAATATTTCATCCTCATCCTCACAAGAACGGGTTAGCTTACCATCAAAACGCGCTAATGATTCTACAGATGATACCATCGATAATACATCTTTACAATACAAAAAAGAAATTTTGTCTTTAATGTTTAATCAAAATCACCAGCCTCATAATCCTAAAGGACAAAAAAAGTCAAAAACATACGAAGAAAATTCTGCATTAGACATTCCTGATGATGTACAAAATGATCAATCTTCATCTTCTAAAGATGATAAAGATTCTCTGATTCAACAACGTAGAAAATTATTTCCTAAGAGATTACCAAAATCAAGTCCTTCATCTACATCTATTGCTTATGTTTGTATAGGACCAACATATAAAGGAAAATTTAATCCTGAAGCTGCTAAAGCCCTTGGTTTAAAGCCTGGACGCCAATATGGTTACTACTTGCTTACTTCTTATATTTACATTTATTTGTTAATCCTCTAACTTCATGTTTATACTTCAGCCGACTTAGTGAATGGGAAATCAGTGACTGCCCCAGATGGAACAATTGTTCATCCAAATCAAGTTTTAGGTCCCTCTCGAGCCGGCACGGTAAAACATATTATTTGTACTATATCTTTATAATATATACTTTTTTTT